AAAATGCAAAAAGAATGCAAATCAATTTAGAGAACTCTTCTATAGCTCTTGCTCTTTTTTATCCTTCAAATAGGCTGTCATTATTTGAGAGGTCACAGAGCCTATACATAAAGCCACAAAGGTTATGAACTGTACAACTCCAGAAAGCACCACTCACCCAGACTGCAGTAAGAAAGTCTTTTTCCAGAGTGGTTGGGTGCACAGCCTGCCCAAACTGCACACTGCAGTCCAACAGCAACTCAAAGAGAGGCAAAAAGATCCCTGATGAAAGGCGGCGATTTCTATTTGGCCTATTTTTGTTTGAGGTTTTAAGAACTGGTCCTAGACCATCCCAAAATGGCTTCCACCAACCACTATCAGAAGCAATTCCACTCACCTCATTTTTCTCTTAGTGCCACTTTTATTAAGAGAATAACTAGAGGATAAAGCTGAATTAGGTAACACATCCAACTAGGTTGTGTTGGTCAGAGTTGGAAAATACAGCACATATCAAAATATGGTTCCCAAATCATTATTTTCATGGGGTATTTATGGATCTAATGTAATAAGTACTGCCATACGAAATAGTTTCAATAATACCATTATAGTATCATACAGAATTATTTCAGTATTCTGAAATGCAAGCAGTTCTAACATTCCTAAAAATCCTCTGTTCTCTGACTATTAAACTAACCACTGACAACCAAAAGTCTTTTTGTTAGTTTTACCTTTTTCAAATGTTATGTACTTGAAACTATATAGTAGGTTGCCTTTTTTGTATTAGCTTCTTGCACTTAATAATATGTATTTAAATGTCCTCCATGTTCTTTCATGGCTTGATACTTCATTTCTTTCTTGTGCTAAATAAAAAATCAGTTTGTCTGGATATACTATAATTTATATCCACTCGTCTACAAATGGCATCTTGATTACATCCAAGTATTGTCAATTATAAATACAATGGCCATAAATGTCCATATTCAGTTTTTTGTGAGGTCAAAGTTTTCAGTTAATTTGGGTAAATACTAATAAACACAATTGATTATAGTGTGTTTAACTTTATAAGAAACTATCCAACTATCTTCCAAAATGGTTATTTCATTTTACACTTCCACCAGCAATGAATGAGAGTTGCTATTACTCCATAACCTCACCAGAATTTGGTATTTGGGATTTTGTCCATTCTACTAGGTGTGCAAGGATATCTAATTGTTCTTTTAATTTGAAATTTCCTAATATTACACAGAATCTTCTCACTTGTTTATTTGGTGAGATGTACATTTAAGTCTTTCACCCATTTTTTTTAATCAAGTTGTTCTTTCTCACTAAAAGTTTTAGAGTTTTGTATATTTTGTGTAACAATCTTTTATTACATGTGTCTTTTGCAAATATTTTATCTCATTATATAGCTTGTCTTCTCATTATCTTGACATTGCCTTATTATAATGAAGTCCTGATTGTCAATTGTTTCTTTCAAGGCTCATGCTTTGGTATTATATCTTATGACTATAGTCAAGGTCTTCAAGGTTTTCTCCTATATTAATATCTATAAGTTTTGTTGTTTTGTGTTTTACTTATGAATTTATGATCCAATTTAAATTTAATTTTGTGAAGGGTGTAGGATCTGTGCCTAGATTCATTTTTTGCATGTCAGTACCAAATTGTTCTAATAACAATTACTGAAAAAATTTTTTAATGTTTTTGCTCTTTTGACAGAAATGGTTGACTTTATTTTGGTGGTCTGAGACTGGATTCATTGATTTATATGTCTTTTCTTTCCCCAATATCACAGTCTTAATTACTGCACTTTATGGTAAGTCTTGAAGTTGGGTTTTATCAATCCTTCAATTTTGTTCTCCTTTAATATTATTCTGGCTATTCTGAATCTTTTGTCTGTCTCTAAAATGCTAGAATTGTTTTCTTGATATCCACTAAATAATTTACTGGGATTTGGATAGGTATTGTGTCAAATCTATACATCAAATTGGGAAGAACTGATGTCTTGACAATTTTGAGTCTTCCAATTCATGAACATGGAATATCACCCCATTTATTTACTTTTTTAATACTTTTTATCAGAATTATGCAAGTTTTCTCATGAACTTATATTTATTTTATTAGATTTTTATACCTAGGGATTTCATTTGGGTTAGGAGTTGTTAATATCAATGATATTTTAATTTCAAATTTTACTATTGATTGCCAGCATTAAAAAAAAGAAATGGACTTTTTTATATTAACTTTTCATCCTATAACTTTGCTATAATCATTTGTGTTCCAAGAATTTCTTTATTTATCTTTCAGATTTTGCTACATAAATAATCATGTAATCCATTTAAAAACATTAGTTTATTTCTCCTCAATCTGTATAATTTTATTCCCTTTATCCATATTATTGCATTGGCTAGGACTTATAGTATGATGTTGAAAAGTAGTGGTAAGAAGGTATCCTGCCTTTCTGATATTAGCAAGAAAGCTTCAGGTTTCTCAATATCAAATACAAAGTTATCTATTTTCCATGGGTTTTTTGATCAATTTGTAGTACTTACACTATATTCCTAGTTAGCTAAGAGTTTTATCATGAATGGGTGTTACATTTGGTCACACCACTCACGCATTGACTGATTTAATCATATGATTCATTATATGATTATGTGACCTCACTTTCCTGACGAATCTAAGAAGAGTTATTTTTCAGACTGTTCAGCTTTTTACTTGTTGTTAGAATGTGGCAGTGATGCAAAACCAGAAGCTGAAAATCTAGACATTTTTAAAATATTTTGAACACTGAATGAAGATGTTGGAGCAGATCTGGGCATCAATCCCTGATCTCCCCATAACACAGAAACAGGACAATAAAAGGACAGCTGACCAGAGAGGTGGGGATAAAATAAATGCTCTAGGACCAAATATTAGACAGTCTGAGACCTGGAGAAACTTGAAGTTTGGTTATTAGAGCAGAAAATAAGGACAGAGTTCCTCAACCCTGAATCCAAACCAGAGTGGGAGAAGGAGAGAGGGGCAACAGAGGGAGAGGAAAAGCATGTAAACTCACTCCATTAACAACAACCGGAAAGAAAAGCAACTAAATTAAAATGTGACAGGAACAAGAGGATCCTTGAAGGGAATCAAGCAGCTTAACCCAGACGGTAGACAGAAAGCTATGCTGGGCATGGCAGCCATTTTGTGGAGCCCACAGCTTCTCAGTGCCCTAGAAGAAATTAAATTAGCATAGCATCTCCTCACCTTCAGATAGCAACAAATAAAACCAGAGGGAGTACCATTACAGTGGGATGTCTCAATAGTCTGCCTAGAAGGAACTTGTAGAGGGAACTCTACTAGTCAAAAGTTGATGAAACCTCCTCTCCCTCACTGGGAATGAGGGGAGTAAGGAGGAGTAGGCCCATTCCAGGAAGTGCTAGCCTAACCCAGCACTCCTGAGAGCCTTCACAGGAGCCTGGTCAGAGAAGAAGTAAATACACATGATTTGCAGAGGCCAGTGGTGGGGAAGTAACAGTTCAGAACCAGACAGGGAGGCAGTTTCCATTCCAGGCAGTGGAAGGGGATGGTGCATGTGACTTGCAGCAAAAACTGACAGGAGCTCTGACTCAGGCAGAAATGCTGTCACTGTCCCACTCAGCAGAGGTGACCAGTGCATGCAGTTCACAATCTTGGACAGTGAAAGTTAGAATCCAGGTGAATTAGATGAATCGCTATCAGGCAGAACAGTTATATACCACAAACCACACACACAGAATCCACAACCACAGGTCCCATGTTTTCAGAGAGCCACAAGCCTCTATGCCACTTGGAAGAGGCTCTGTAGAGGGGAGTGGGTGAGGGGTGACCTATAGCATATAGGGCAATAGCCCAGAGCCCTATGTCCTGAACTCCTGAACACAATAGAAAGAGCCAGCAGACAGCACTGTGCCCTCTCAGAATCCAGCCTCAGGCCCTTGGGTTTACAAACAAGAACCAGCTGGTGGGAAGTCCATAGAAACTATGGGGTAGTTCCTGAATCCCAGCAATTCTGGGGGAATCCAAACCAAAGACTGATGGACATCTGAAAGTTCCAAATCTTGATAAAATTCAAACCCAGATTCAAAAAGGATTTTCTTCACCTTGGCACAGTGTACTATAAGTACCTCTAATATCAACTTTGATATACATATACATACACTTATACATAAATATATGTGTGTCTTTCTCTATATAATCTTCTCTCTTCTTTTGCCCAATGTTTCTCTTCTGCCCTTTTCAGTTATTAAATATAATAAAATTATATTATAGCAATTTTATTATATTTAATAACTAAATTTTTAACCTATTCCAGAACTTTGCTACAAGTTTGTCCCTGGATTAGAACTATGGAGAAGAGCATCAACAAGTTTTTAGATTTTCATAAGGTTGAATATTATGTGACTTTGCTCTGAAGTGATTGTAGTAAATAAGGTTCAGTGTCTTCTAAGTGGTGCTGATACTGGGTACAGCAGAGGACACACAGAGAATGAAACAATAAAAATGTGAATATTCACTTAGCCTAGACTCTTAAGAGAAAGAAATTCACTAAATAGTACCTTGAATTTAAAAAAAAAAAAAAAAGCAATAATCATCCCATGCTTTCAGACATTCACCAGGCTCTATGCTACTTTGAAAAGGACCCTTTGAAGGGTAGTGGGTGTGTGGTCACTTATAAAAGATGGACATATAAACAAAATTAAAAGGCAAGAGAAAGAATCACCCAAACAGCCCACACTTCAATAACCAACCCAAATGATACCTCAGTGGAAGAAATTAGAAAATCCACAGTTAAAATGTTCAATGAACTGAAAGAAGAAATAAAATAATGTTTTTAAATAATTACATGTTTATTTATGTAGAAAAATCTGAAAGAATAAACAAAGAGCAATTAGGCAAAAAAAGAAAAGAAAATGCATAAAAATAGAAAAGGAAGAATGCCGCAGTCTGGCTGGGCACAAAATCACGAGCCACTGAAGCAGGAACAAACTTTATTTTTGAAAATGCCGCCAATACCCCGTACACCTCCAGAAAGAAGCTGGTCCACACACTCGGTGGTGTTCTCCCTGACCCGGGAACAAGTTCCTCCCCCGGAATTCCCTCCTACTGTACTTCCCCAACCAATGAAAACTCTCCAGGAGTCCCCTAGCAGGCCTAGGTGAACAGCAGGAGTCCAATATCCATATGAATGCAAATCTTAACATAATCATATCATCTCAATGGCTAGCTGGTGTCACCTTACAACCAAAAGTGCCATGCATCATATTACTTGGCTGTGGCTCTTAGCAGAAGAAGTCAAATTATCACTCTCTGCAGATGATATGATCCTATACTTAGATCAGAAAAACTCCATCAGAAAATTACTAGAGTAATTAGCAAATTAGCCAAGTAGCAGGTTACAAAATTAACACACAAAAATCAATAGTTTTCCTATATGACATAATGAATCTGCTGAGAAAGAAATCAGGAAACTATTTCATTCACAACAGCTTAAAAAAGTAAAATAAAATAACTAGAAGTAAATCTAGCCAAACGGTTGAAAGACCTCTACATTGTAAACTATAGAACACTGAATAAAAAATAGGAAAAGATTCAAAAAAATGGAAAGCCCTCCCACGTTTAGGGATATGCAGAATAAATATTGTTAAAATGGCCATACTCGATCTATGTATGATGTGTCAAAATACATTCTACTGTCATGTGTAACTAAAAATAACAAATAAAAAATTTTTAAGTCTCCATACTACCAAAAGCAATATACAGATTCAATACAATCACCATCAACATACCAATGGCATTCTTCATAGAACTAGAAAAAATAGTCCTAAAATTTATTTGAAAGAGTAACAGACCCAAAATGGCCAAAGCCATCTACACCCCCCCACCAAAAAAAGAAATGCTGAAGGCATCATCTTATCTGACTTCAAATTATATTACAGAGCTATAGTAACAAAAATTGCATGGTACTGACAAAAAAAAAAAAAAACAGAAGCATAGACCAACAGAATAGACCAGAAGACAGAGAGATAAGCCCACATACCTAGAATTATCTGACCCTTGACAAGTTGACAAACATACACTGGAGAAGAGACAGTTTTTTTCACAGACAGTTCTGGGAAAGCTGGTTATCCATAGGTAGAAGAATGAGACTAGATACTTATCTCATCCTACCTGATAATCAAAATACATATAGATAGATAGATAGATAGATAGATAGATAGATAGATAGATAGATAGAGAGAGACAGAGACAGAGAGACAGATACAGATATAGATAATCAGAACAAACAGCCTCACTTTAAAAAATTGTAACAGGGCTTGGGTTGTAGCTCAGTGGTAGAGCACTTGTCTAGCATGTGTGAGGCACTGGGTTCAATCCTTAGCACCACATTAGATAGATAGATAGATAGATAGATAGATAGATAGATAGATAGATAAATAGATAGATAGATAGATAGATAAAATTAAAGTTATCATGTCCATCTACAACTAAAAATATTTTTTTTAATTGCAACAGTGGTACCTGGTAAGAATTAAATAAAATGACATATGTAAGAATTTGTCCCAGTGCCTGGCATGAGATGAATTATTGATAAGTATCTCTTTCCTTCCCTTCCAAATCAAGTGATTAAACTATTTAGTTTCATGTTTAAAAACTCAAGCTCTTGTCTCAGATTATACTGAATGCAGGTATTGGACTTGCCTTTATTTAGAAGTGAGTCCTTGAGCAAATTAAGTACTTTACCTAAGCTTCAATGGCCTCACTTATAAAATTAAAACAGTAGTTGAAAACTACTCATTGTATTGCTGTGGAAATTAATGTGCTTATTCATAATTACTCATTTCTTTGCCTGGAACATAACAGGCTTTCAATAAATATTAACTATTAATGTTTGTATGGCAAAGTAAGGTCAGCTATAGCATAGATATACTTTTTGATCCACGTAATGAATTCAAAAACAAGTAAACAAGAGTAGATTTTCCTTTAATTAGAGAAAGTAACTCAGAATTGCATGTCAGATAGGGAGTCAACAAATGGAGTAAAATCTTTGGTCTAATGTGAGAAAAGATGTATCAGGTGTTTGAAATAAATTCATCAAAGAATGGGTCCTTGGAGTAATAATGTCCATCAGCAGAGGGAATCTCAGCAGAGATTTCCCCCTTCAGGGGACTTGGCATTAACCCAGCAATAGTTTCACCAGGGACAAAGAGAAAATCCAGACTTTTATTGTTATAAAAGTGGGGTGGGAGGGAGACTGTGTCTTCTCCAACCGGAAAAATATTTCCCCAAATGTATTCAAAGTGCAAGCACAGGGGACAGAAGAACTCTGAGATCCAGGGGAATGAAGAGAAAGGGAAGGCTTATCTGCAGACATTGTTTCCCATTTCCAGTCAGTCCCTGAACCAACTCCTCCAACAAAGGGCAGATGTTCATATTTCATGAATGTGGAACCCAGAAAATATTTTTATATTATATAATACACGTGTTATATTTCAGTGTGGAAATGTAAGTTTATTAAACTGCCTTTCTACTTTCCAGTTCTAGCTTTTAAAGAAACTATTACTGCAAGATTGCATCAATTAGAAAAGCAAAGAAAAATTAAATGATAAATAACTATATTGTCTTTGTTTAATCCTATCTGCCATTCCCACAGTTTTGTGAACTTTATTCTAAACTTAAACATTCTCCTTAATATAAAGTTTACTGAATTAAAGTAAAACCCAAGATGCAAACTAAGCCATTTTTCTTTTTGTTTATTTTAGGGAAAAAATCTAGACTGAGGATAGGACAGGATTCCTTGCAATGAGAGGAGAATAACTGTGCAAATCTTTTCTAGGAGCTGATAGTTATCAGTTCTCAGAATGTGGCATTCCATTTTCTAAACTGGACCTCTAATCTCTGCCTAGGTTTGTGAAATGGTATCTGTCACACAAAAATAAAATGCAACATTTAAGAGTCCCTCTCTCCTCAACTGTGCTGGCACAGCAGCTGAACTCATTAGCTTTGAATACAAGTATCAAATGAAGGGAAGATGATAACCTACATGGTAAGTCAAATATAGCACAAATAGGGGATTTCTTAGCATCCTGGGATGTTACAGAAATAACAAAGGTCACAAAAAGTGCTTGGGGAAATTGGAAGATGCAGAAGTAAGTACCTTCAAAATCAATATTTCATAACTGTTTTTTCAGATTATAAAAGTAATATATGTTGCTTACAGAAATTTGAGAAATGTAGACATAAAAAAGAAAATTATAATTTATCTGATCTGTAACACTACTATTAAAGTTTTATATCTTTCTAGGAATTTTTTATGCTTTTGTATCATTTAATTTCTCTACAAAAATATATATGTAAATGAATTACACAAACTCTTCTTATGCCAAGAATGCTATAACTATATAAACCTTTGCCCAAGAATCAGCATCACTTCATTGTTCATTAGAAACTTAGAATCCCAGGCCCCAACCATCCCTTTTGAGTCAGAATCTACATATTAATATTCTTCCCAGGAAATCCTTCTGTACTTCTATGGTGAATTTATTATTCATTTTCTACTTTAATTTTTATTCAATGGGTACAAATGTTTTTAAAGCTCTGGTTGTTTCTAAATTGCCTGCCAGAAAAACATTTTTGACATTTACATTTCCCACATGGTTTTTTGAGTGTCATTTCACTGTACCATTACCAACACTGATGATTACTATGTATCATATTTGTCCATCTTTGCTAATTTAAAAGGCAAAAGAAAGTTTTATTTTTCATATTTAAATTAACATATTTCACTAGAAATATTGAGGTTAATTATTTAACTCCCACATGTACATTTAATTCTTATAATGCTTCTTAATTTTATTGAAAAAGAATAATATTTCAGATTTTAAAGACGTTTCACTAAGCAGGCATATAAAAGCATGTTCCAAAACACCTATTGCCTTGAAAACCATACAAAGATATCAGAGGCACTACTTTTATTGAATTTTTGAAATAGTTTAGGCCAATAAACAGCTATAAAGCAGAATGAAGTTTAAAAAAATAAGCCTGAAAAGATTTCATCTATCACTAAATTATTCAATAAATGGTAGCAAAGAGCAGCAATTAAAAAATAAACAAAAATTCATGATAAGCAGTAATCAAAAAAGTTAATGCTGTTTTTAAAAGGCATTTTACTGAAAATATGTTATGAAATATTGCCCTTTAATAATTTAAGCACTGAAACTATATAAAGTAGGTAGTATTATAGAGGTTTTTCATTTTCCTAAAACAAATCTCCAGTTACCTTGTCATCTTAGAATAACTCCAGGGAAAAAATAAAAACAGAAAAACAGTACAGAGACAATGAAGACAGTGAAATAAAAAAGAATGAGTTTCTCTAAGAAATTTAGGGAGTTTTTCACTGGATTAAGATCCCATGAAAAAGGTGTTTAAAGTTAGAATATACACAGCTCTGAAAGATGATTCCATTCCAGAGAAGACAGAAGAAACAGGCAGGGGCTGAGGTTGTTGCCCAGAGGTAGAGCACTTGCCTAACATGCATGAGGCACTGGGTTCAATCCTCAGCACCACATAAAAATAAAATAAAAGTATTGCATCCACCTACAACTAAAATATAAATGTTTAAAAAATGAACAATAAACATTCAGGAGAGAATTGACATGAAAATGAAGTAAAACCCAACTGTTTTAAGTGCCATAAGTACTCAGACCTACATAAATTATACTCCAGGGTGCTGAATTTACAGAAGTAGTTTAAGATAATTACAGACTTTTAAAAAAAATTGTGAATAATGAAAGTTTAAAAAACTAAAATTGAGCAAAAGCCAGCAGTTATTTAATGCCATAAAGGTGAAATCTAAAAAGCTGCCTCTACAATTTTTTTAATAAACTGTTTAATAATATATTCCAGAATGCTTTCCAGAGATAAAATGTGATTTTCACCACCTTTGTACCATGTATTTTTGGCTTAGCCATCTATATACAATCACTGATAATAATGATGCTAACATAGAAAAAGTTTTAAGTGAATTGAAAAACTATTTTCTCATGTTCTTCATAATATTTTAATCAAAGATGAAATTCGA